GTTGATGCAATGGCTGTCAGGTCTTGAAAGGAAATTTTTGCCTCTTTTAAGGTGTCTTGAATCATTTGTGGTAAACGCTTTAAATGTGCGCGTGCAGCAATTTCTGGGACAACGCCTCCAAACTTTTGGTGCTGTTGGATTTGAGACCAGACTTGATGGCCCAGAATATCCCTTTGTTCGTTTACAATGGCGACAGCTGTTTCATCGCAACTAGTTTCAATTCCAAGAACGATCATTTAAAGTGCTAGTCTAAAGAAATTTAATAACCACAAGAAAGCACACTTTAAAGAGGGATCCAAGCTTGAATAGGACATCAGGATCATTGATTCGTTTAGGAACACGTAAATCACCTTTAGCTTTACGCCAAGCTTAGTTGGTAAAGGAAGCTTTGTGCACCTCTAATTCCGCCACTTCTGTAGAATTGGTTCCTTTTTCGACACGTGGGGATGAGATTTTGTCTTCATCTCTTGTGGAATTGGGAGGGAAAGGGCTCTTCACCCAAGAAATTGAGCAAGCGATTTATGAAGGGAATATTGATGGTGCTGTCCATTCGATGAAGGATTTGCCAACAAAGTTACCTGAAGGCATGGTGATTGGCGCTGTTTTGCCTCGTGAAGATCCAAGAGATGTCTTGATTGGGGGTGAAGGGAGGATAAAAAACCTAAGAGTTGGTGCCCATATTGGGACAGTTTCTTTACGACGCCAAGCACAACTTCTTCACCATCGACCTGATTTGAAGATTTCTGTTTTGCGTGGAAATGTAGGAACCCGTCTGCAGCGTATCGAAGAAGGCGCGTTTGATGCCACGATTTTGGCAGCAGCAGGCTTGAAGCGGCTTGGGAAAGAAATCTCTGAAGCACTATCAACGCAAGAGATGCTCCCTGCAGCAGGACAAGGAATTATTGGAATAGAGTGCATGGAAGGGAATACTCGTTTTCGAAACTCCTTTCAGGTATTCACCATGAGCCAACAGGGCTGGCACTTCAGGCAGAGCGGTCTTTTTTAGAAACATTGGATGGTTCGTGTGGTACTCCTATCGGTGCGCTTGCGCAGTGTGGGCCTAAAAAATAAGTATAGAAGGGCTTGTTGCATCTCCAGATGGAAAATTATTGCGTCGTTTATCCATGGACGGTGCGAAAGAGGATGCATTGCAGCTAGGGATTTATTTGGCACGTCAACTCATAGAAATGATTGGATCGGAAACGTTGCAGTCGTGGCGCGTTGAATCATGACAGAACGTATTTTAATCACACGTCCTTTAAACCAAGCAAAAGAAACAGAAGATGCTTTTAAAAAATTAGATCTTCAGCCTATTTTGAGTCCAGTTTTGCGAATTGATCAAAGTCCCTTTTCTCCTCTGCCAGTGCAGATTGGTGCTGTTGTAATCAGTAGCCAAAATGCTTTCTATGCCTGTGAGGGTATTCCAAAAGGAGTACCTTTTTTTTGTGTAGGCTCAAAAACGGCAGAGCTTTTGAGAAGGGAAGGTTTTGAAAATATTTGTCTCAGCCCTGATGGGACATTGAAAGGACTGTTTCCGTTAATTTTCAAAGTGTTTTCTTCAAGAAGCGGCCCTTTTCTTTACTTAAGGGGGCAGCATGTGAGTGAGGATATTAAGTCCTTCTTGAAAGAAAGCGTGCCCTCAATTTTAATAGAAGAGAGAATTGTGTACGTGGCTCAGGTGATGGAAGCGCTTACTTTAGAGACGGTCACAGTTTTAAAACAAGGCATGTTGGATTTTGTGACATTTTTTTCCAGGCGTTCTGCGAGACAATTTGTTACACTACTCCAAAATGAGAGATTGATAGAGACACTCGATCAAGTATGTGCTGTTTGCCTAAGCTCGCCTGTTCAAGATATTATTCAGGATAAAGTATGGAAGCACATTCTTGTAGCACCTGAGCCTACACTGCTTGGAATGGTGCAGGTGTTAGAGGAATATCGTGTCGTCAGGAGAGGAACGATAAGTGACAGCAAGGACAAGCAAAGGGACGAAAGCGCCTAAACCTTCTGAGAAGGCTAAAGAGGTTAGGGAGGCAGAAAAGGCAACAAATCAGAAGCAAGCTTCTGATGAAACAAAACCAAAAGAGATGGTTTCTGAAAAGAAAACAAAAGATTCTAAATCTACCTCCTCTCAAAAAGTACTTCAAAAAAAGCAACGCCCAAATCCTTTAATAAAGTGGGGGATTTTGGTCAGTGTGTGCTTGTTGTCCGTTACATGGGTTTGGTGGCTTCCTTTCTTTATTCCAGAAAGTGAAGAATGGTTGCCAAGCCGTAGTGGGCAAAAACAAGAAGTTCTTCAAAAACAGCAAGAACCTGAGTTTGTGCCGCTTCGATCCCAGGGAGACTCTTGGGGTACAAGACAGGAAGAAGTGCTGTTCCAGAAAAAAAACTCAGAGCCAGAATCAGCACTGTTGGACGATCAAGCAACAGTATCACAACAGATAGAGCAAGAGGTTCAGTTGGAATCGGCTATCCCTATGATGGAGCAAAACACTGAAAATGCCGCTTCTTTTTCGCGTATGCAGGAACGGTTTGCTCCTCCTGCATCTCAGGAAGATATTTTCAGACCTATTCTTAAAAGTTACATGCTTTTTCGGCATGTTCTTAGTCGTGGAGAGCCTTTCGCGGAGGCTTTGAAAACATTGGTCCGTGTGGCTCATATCCCTCCTTATTTGTTTTCAGATCTCCACCAAGAAGTTGCTTTTTTAGGCGCACCAAAGCTTTCTCGTTTGGTTGAATTATTAGATAGCTTGATTGCAAATCCACCAAGTTTTCAGGAACCAAGCACCTCACGTTCTGGAACAATAACAGATAAAGCTGAAAAAGTTCTTCACTCACTTTTCCAAGTGCGAAAAACAAATAGTGAATCGCCTAAAAAGCAAGATATTAAAGGTCGTTTGATGCAATTGCGCCAACTTCTTTTGAACCAGACCAGTTTGGAAACCCTTGAACACGAAGCAAGAAACCTTGCTGTAGATGTTGGTAAACATGAGTTGCTTCAAATGTTGATGGCGCATATTCAAGGCATTCGAGCGGGGGAAGAAATCATCAAAATTGTGGATCATTTTCTCTTGAATGAGAAGACAAAAGAAAGATCAAGAACTCTTTCAGAAGAGCAGGAAACAGGAGAAAAATCATGACACGAGCACTTTGGTTTTTTTTAAAAGTCGGTGTTTTTGTTGCGCTGGTTGCATGGTTATGGTTGCGGGCTTCTTTTATAACGATTGCTTTTGGTGATTGGGAATTGAGTATACATCCTTTAGGTGTCCTTGCTGGGATTGGTGTTTTGTGGTTGCTGTGGCGTGGACTTAAGTGGGGCGCTTTTATTCCTTTGCGTGCTTTTGGTGGTCTGCGTCGCTCTATGCGTTCTCATACTTTGGGGACGCGCCGGGAAAACTTTTGGCGAGCCTTGGAAGCATTTTTAACCAGTGATTTAGACGAAGCAGC